CATAGCTCACTCGGTCAGATCATTCGTCAACATAATCTTGAATTTCACCAATATGCCGATGGTAATCAACTGCATTTTAATTTAGCATTCACCAGAGCCAACACTTCAAATGCAGTTACACAAATGGGCCATTGTCTTACATGACATCAAGAAGTGGATGACACTCAACAAGCTACAACTCAACGATGGAAAAACAGAAGTTTTGCTCATTTAATCCAAATTTGACCATACTCCTTGTCCTGTCAGCAGTATCCATGTTAATTCTATTCATTGAGCCAGTCATAGCTGCATGCAACCTTGGAGTTGTATTTGATAATACTCATCAATTCGAAATAAAATCACCATATGGCCAAAGTATTTACTTCAACATTAGATGTATAGGACAAATTCGACAGTACTTATCTACAGAAATTTGCCTCAAGCTGTTCACTCAACTCTTGTCGCTAAACTGGACTACTGCAATGCTCTGCTATGTGGCTTACCAACTGCACAACTAAATCAGTTACGAAGAGCCCAGAATAGTGCTGCTCGTCTCATTACTCACACAGAAAAGTTTAATCATATAACACCAATACTCCAACAGTTGCACTGGCTTCAGAATCCAATTCAAAATACTCATTACATACAAAGCTCTTCATCAGTTGGCTCCACCATACATTTCGGATCTCATACAACAGACATGGCTGCCCCCAGGGTTTGACCGGACCCCACACAAAGAAGTTAGTAAAATCTGTTCTAAACGTTTTGGATTCCTATGATGTATTCCTGATAGGAAAAGACGTACAATAATAAGGTTATTACGAGGATACTACAAAGTATGCACTCAGACAGTACGCTGTTGCATCAACTTCTGCTGTGTATCAGTCGATACCGCTGTACTATCTCTGTGCATACTTTGCAGTATCCTCGTAAAAACCTCATATCATACAGATGCGCCAACTGCAAAGACTAATTGTGGGCAATTGTATTTCCGCCTATAAAATAGTACACAAAAATATATTATTGACAGAAATTGCCAGAGTGGCAAGTCTAGAAACTATGCATCAATAATGAAACAGTGTATATACCAGATTGCAAGATTCACAAAAATAATTGGCAATGTACAAGAACAATTCAAAAATTACAAAAATATTTGCCAAAAATAAATGTTATTGACACTAAATGAACAAATCTGATAGAGAGCCACCCAGCATACTTAAATAAAACATATCAAATCAATTGTACTGGTAGTTTTGAAAAATAGTCCAAAATAGCATTTTTTTTTATACCATTGGTCTAAAAATTACATTGAAATGAAGATATAGTCCTGAAATGAACAAATCTGACAAAGGTCCACCCAAGGTACCTACAAACCCAGTATCAATTGAGCTGGTAGTTTTCAAGGAGTAGAAAATGCAATAATTGTTGACAGATGACCATGACAGACGGGTGTAACTCGGTACGTTAACAATGTTAGATAGAAGAATTGACTGTCGTAGATATACTATACAAATAAACATGAACAGTTTATGCAGTATGAAACATTTTTTGTTTCTACCTTGATCACCTGGTAACGATTTGAGTATCCTAACTTTATGTGCAGTTAGTCCAATTATGAGAGTATAAAGCCGAGATTATTGCCGAACATCTGCAAGAAACATTCAATATTCCAACTGTGACGAATAACCTCAGAAACGCTACAATACAGTTTTTACAAAAGTTGGTTCATGTACATTCCTTGCTACCAGGATCAACATCTAAAATCATTGAAAAGCATGAAAAGTTCTGTTTTAATTTTGTATGGAGGGAGGAGGCGTGTCAATCAATACAATTAGAATTGACAATAGGTGTGACAATAACCTTAAATATGTATTGTTAATGTGCATTAACCAAGCAAATCAGTCCTATAAGAGGACACACTGGTAACATAACAGTAATAGCTCACAACAATATGATGAAGGCATGTTTTATTATAATATATTATGGGACAGGTCTATTGTAGACAAGTCAATGTACATTTTATAAGGTCACACAGATGACAAAAAAAGGAAACGTTACAGAGAATACAGAGTAAAAGTAGTTGGCAAATTCGCCAAACTCAAAAATGACACAGCTATTTCAAAGCGTTTTACAGTAATTTGATATTGGATGAAAAGCACAGATTTCCCCCATATTATGTAAATCTTTATATTAGTATCAAGTAGTATCACACAAATAAAAGTAAATATTGCTTGAAAACTCAGTATTACCAATGCACATTTCCTTGCACACATATCGATAATACTGGGAATTATTCCAAATTACAACCTTTAATAGGCACAAGTTTTACAGATGAGTAGATATGTGGTCACCTCATGATCAGTCGAAGACTAAATCTGAATAATAGCTAATGGTACATTCAGTGGTTCCTAATGGGCTATTTCTTCATAGGTACATGTCGGATATTATAACAATTTATATGAAATACTGACATTCTAGGAGAAATTAACGAGGATAACATATTTGCTTTATTAGTAGTGCATGTACCCTTGTAAATTACAGAGGTATTTGTATGTTCAAAATAAGTTGTGATTCGGTGTGCAATTATGATGCGCTTCTAATAGAGCAAATATAATAATGTTAACATGTGCAGTTTGCTTCACTTAGAAGTGATTCTAGTCACAAAAGAGCAAAAAAAGCTTTTTTACTATAATATATACATACATCTTAGTTAATCGTACAAGGGCAGGATTGTTTAATAATGGTTTTGATAATTTGTAAACACGAGTCAGTGAAACACTGTTTATTTACAGAAAAATTGTTTTTAGACTGCGCTATAACCACCATACAATCACGAAGAAAATGTAAAAGGGCTTTTATTTTGTATTATAGAATTCACCTGTGAAAAGAGCATAGATTGACAGAATCAAACTTATAAATAAGACCATCATCGCTGAATTTTTCAGGCTAAATACATCATCCCTGTTATTAATATTGATTTTTTACTAAAAATAATTTATAAAGCAGGTATTAATCACCGACAATTTAATCTGAAACGAGCATTCTCTTTGTTTATTTGCGTGTATGATGCTTGATGATTCTACATTCATTATTAAGCAAGACGATTCGAAATAGTATTATTATTTGCACTATCTAACACAGTATCTGCAATATCGCAAAGAACATATACAAACTCATAGGAACTGGTAATAATGACGTCAAATTTTAACTGATTTGACAAGGGAATGAACAAAGCTGGGCAACCTAGATTTTTTAGAACTGTAAAGTATTTTCTGATTGGTCAAAATATTATATAATTCAAATAAGAGAATTAGAATACTCGTAAGATAGTTTTTAGTATTACAGAAAGATGTTAATTTTGTTAAAATTAATTTCAGTCGAATAAATGTGCTCAGCTATTACCACTCCCAATTACTGCACAACTGATAAAAATAAAATGTACCTCATTAAAAACAACGTTTCCACCTCTGTCTAAAAATATTTGGCAGCGATAATGTTTGACCAAGGAAGCACAGTACATTCCTACCAAAAACTCAATGTTCAAAATACTTAATTTGGGGCACACATACAGACAAACAGACAAAAATATTACCGAACCCTAAGGTTAACTTTCACATGAAATGTTGAAATTGAATATTTTAACCTAATTATTTAAATTGTTGAGCATTGCAATCCATTATATTTTGCATATCTAGGTTGGCAGCCATTGTGCAAATAATACATCCTCTTTCAA